AATATCCTCAGGAGAGGATTAACAAGAAAAAAAAGAGGTTAATTTCCAAAATATATAAGGCATTCATACAGCTGAACAAAAGGAAGATGAACAATCCAATTTAAAAAATGGGCAAAGGACCTAAATAAATACTTCTCCAAAGTGGACATACAGAAGGCCAAGAGAGTATGAAAAAAAAAATGCTCAAAATCACTAATCATCAGAGAGATGTAGATTAAAATGACAACGGGGTATCATCTCACACCTGTCAGAATTGTTATTATCAACAAATGACAAGTGCTGGCGAGGATGTGGAAAAAAGGGAATCCTAGTACACTGCTGGTGGGAATACAGACTGGGACAGCCATTATAAAAAAAACAGTATGAAGTTTCCTTAAAAAACTCAAAATGAAAATGCCATTTGACCCTGTGATCCCACTTCTAGGAATATATCCTTAGAATCCTGAAACGCCAATCAGAAAGAATATATGCACTCCTATGTTCATAGCAGCACAATTTACAATAGCTAAGAACTGGAACCAGCCCAAGTGCTCATCAGTAGATGAGTGGATAAAAAGCTGTGGTACATTTACACCATGGAATACTACACAGCTGTAAAAAATGAAGGATCTATTACCCTTTGAGATAGCACAGAGAAAACTGGAGAGTATTATATTAAGCAAAATAAGACAGAGAAAGACAATTATCACATGATCTCACTTATATGTGGAATCTAAAGAATAAAATAAACTGATGAAAAAAATAGATCCAGCCGAGACCGGTTTGGCTCAATGGATAGAGCGTCTGCTTGGGGACTGAAGGGTCCCGGGTTCGATTCCGGTCAAGGGCATGTACCTTGGTTTCGGGCACATCCCCAGTAGGGGGTGTGCAAGAGGCAGCTGATCGATGACACTCTCTCATCGATGTTTCTAGCTCTCTAGCTCTCTCCTTTCTTCTCTGTACAAAATCAATAATATATATATATATATATATATGAAAAAAAATAGATCCAGAGACATAGAAACATAGAACAGACTGATATATCTTAGAGTAAGGGTGTCGAACTCAATCAGAGAAGGGGCCAAAATCTAAAATCCAGCCTAAATCGCGGGCCGAATGGTTTACTGAACAGTCATAAACTGTCATTGTGATGGAAACGCAGTGGAGTGCAGTGATGACAGCGCGGTGCGGGCCACATTGCAAGGCCTGGCGGGACGGATTTGGCCTGCGGGCCTTGTGTTTGACACATGTGTCTTAGAGGGAAGGTGGGGATGGGTATATGGGTAGGAAGATTAACCAAAGATCTTATATGCATATATGAATAACCTATGGGCACAGACAATTGGGTGGTTAAGGCCTGGGGCGGGGGGAGAGGCGAGTTTGAAGGGGTCAATGGGGAAAAAAGGGTACCTCTGTATTACTTTCAACACTAAAGATAAATTAAAAAAAGAAAATTAGTATTAAAATAGTTAATAATTTAAAATGAATATACATACATTTTATTGATAAAATAATATTTTTAAATATAGAAAAGAACTAAATAAACAAAAAACCCAAATGGAGTTATTCCAGGAATGTTTTTATTCTCATCAAAGTAACCAATAACCAGATGCCTCACCCCCCAAAAAAATAACAAGAGTAAAATAAATATTAAGAAAAATTATTTTAAAGCAAGATCCACAAGTAATGGAAAATTTTTCTAAGAGCAAACACTTGATTTTAAGCTATGTACATAAAATATATGTATGCTTAAATTTTTGGAAATATCTGTCTACAGTGCTATTTAAGCATTCTGAACAAAGAATACATTTGAAAAAAGAATACTTTTTTAAAAGTTAAAGCACAATATAAAATTATTTATTCACAAGGCATCAAATTTTACACTCTAAAATGTAGATACTAAACAAGGAAAAATAGGATTTCTATTTTCACAAATAACAACCATACTTCATACTATGTCACTAAATACTTCAGTTGTGTTTTAAGCTTTGAAATTCAAAAGGCATCTTTGGATATTTAAGATAAAAAGGCGCCCTCTGGAGTTGAGTCTGAACCAGCACTGGATATCAAAACATCCTTGTTAACTTCAGACTGAGGGCATGGTTGCTGAATGAATACAGAAGAGTGACAAAGGAATAACAAATAATGAACTTCAAATATTAAATTCAAATATACAGTAATGCCTCCTTATCTGTAGTTTCAGTTTCCCCTATCAGCTATACATGGTCAACCATTGTCTGAAAATCTTAAATGAATAATTCTAAGAAAAAGACAATTCATATGTTTTAAATTGTGCACCATTCTGAGTACTGTGGTGTAATCTCACACTGTCTCAGTATGTCCCACCCAAAACATGAATCATCACTTTGTCCAGCATGTCCACATTATAAATACTCCCCACCGTTAGTCACTCAGGAGCCATCACAGTTATCAGATTGACTGTCATGGTATCACACTGCTTGTGTTCAAGTAACCCTCATTTTACTTACTAATGGCCCCAAAGTGCAGAAGGAGTGATGGTGGCAATTTGGGTATGCCAAAGAGAAGCCATACTGTGTTTAAGTGAAAAGGATGTATATAGGGAAAAGCATAGCATATATAGGGTTCAGATGTATCTGCAGTTTTAGGCATCCTCTGGGGGTCTTGAAACATACTTCCTACAGATAAGAGGGACTACTATCAATCTATTTTCCTTTTATAGGGTAATATGTGTGTACATATGTGTGTAATGATACATGTACATGAACAGATATACACACATACATACACATTTCTAATATTTGTTCTCGCTAGTAACCAGTTTCTTAATGCTAATTTTAACTGAAAGCAATGTTTTTGATCCTCTCTACATATCACTTCTCTCTCTCCTGTAAATCAGGGGGTTCTATGAAGCTAATGGGAGTTCAGGATTGCAAAAGACAACTTGTGGTAGAGAACTCAAAGATGGCTACAGATATTTAAAGCAAGATTGTTTCTAAACAGCATGCTTTGTGTTCTGGTAATAAGGGCTGAAATTATAGCCTTGATTTTTCCCAGACCATAGGCTGCTCTTCTCACTATCCTATAACTTTGGGTCCCTTGGCAGGTGGGGCCAAGAGCACAACTCAAATGCACATATAATAATAAAAGTAACTGGCTTGAGAGAGAGAGAGGGAGGGAGGGAGAGAAAGGGGGGGGAAGTAAGAGAGAGTGAGTGACGGGAGGGGTGCTTCTTTTTTCAAAAGTCTAGTATACATCTATCATATTAACTGTTTCTTCTGGAAGAAACAAGTTATAAAGTATGATGGGCTGCTGGAAAAAATAATAAGAAACATTAAAATTCAAACTGGTGGCATGGAAGATGGCATAGGCATTGGTCTAAGAAAGAGCCTAGACATATACAAACTCATTCTTATTTCATTAAAAATGTATTTGCCTTTCTAGATTAACAGCACCTTCATCAAGTTTCAGTTTTTTTCTTTAAAATTGCTGAGATAAAAATGAGATCTCTAAATCTGAAAAGACAACATGGAATAATGTAAACTTTTTTGTGTATGTATGAAAAGATGAGAGAAAGAAAGTAGACTGGGAAGAACCCCATCCCACACTACCATCTGAGTTCAGACTCTGCTCTTTAGCAATGATTAATATTTATTACTGACCTCAAGCCGAGAAAAGAATTAACATTTACTGAGTATAAACTCTATGTAATAGGCACTGTGTTAGCAGCTTTATGGCAATGGGAAAAAAATATTGGAAATTTATTTATGAGTTCACTTACATATTCTGCATATAAAATCAATCTTACAATTACCAAGGAAATTTTAATAGTCATACAAGTACAGTACCAGATCTCTGGCCAGTGTATAAATTTCCAGGCACTCACAGAAGAATTTCTAAATTTATATGGTAATGAGAACAAATCTCTGAATTGGCCAATCTCACTAATTAGCAAATGCATAAGTTTTAAACTCAAGAAAAGTAGAGATTAGCCTCAAAGGTATCACAACCTAGCGAAATTCTCGTTTCTGTATTATAATTTATTTATTTTTGGTGAAAGAAGTTTTGTATAATAGCATTAAAAGACATTTTGAGTGGTTATCTAAAACACCAAAAGACAATTAAAATCTATTAAGTTATATATACCAGCTAAGGACAAATATATGCCATAAATGGACAAATTTAGTGAACCCAAGTAATTTTATATGACCATTATATGTTAAAGATGGTAAAAAAAAAAAAAAACCTTTAAAATGTTTTTATTGATTTCACAGAGGAAGGGAGAGGGAGAGCAGGGGGTAGAAACATCAGTGCGAGAGAGAATCACTGATTCGTTGCCTCCTGCATGTCCTCTACTAGGGAGCGAGCCCGAAACCCGGACATGTGCCCTGACCAGGAACCAAACCATGACCTCCTGGTTCATAGGCCGATGTTCAACCATTGAACCACACCAGCTGGCAGTAAAAATATCTTTGAAAAGTCTTTGATCTTTGAAAAAAATGAATTGTGGGAGAAGCTTAAAAATCTTAAGTTTCTGTATTGAGACTAATAGACTAAACTAAAAACAACCTAGAGCTGAACTCTGCAGGAGTGAATTGAAAGCTTGCACCAAGCTAGAGTGTCACTGAAGGTAGATCCTGATATACTTTTAACAATGGAAAGATGAGATGGGAAGCAGGGAATGCTAAGGACCTGTAAAGTCTTTTGAACTACAAGATAAAGAAAGGAACAAGATATTAATTTTATCAATGAAAAACCACCCATACTTAGCTTACTCAAAAGGAGATACAAAAGAAAACATACTGGGTCATCTAAGAAAGCAAATACAAAGACAAAGATGTACAGAAAATAAGGGGGAAAGAAATCCTGTAATAATGAAGGCACATCTATTTTCAAACAGTTCTACTATTTTCCTTCTAAAACTAAATGCTTTACACAGTGCTTTGAAAGCCATTGTTTCCCAATCTGGCAGGGATGAAGACTCAAGATTATGCTCTCAAACCTTCAAATTTTTTATTATCATTCTCTTGAGGTTTCTTTTGTCAAATAAAAGAATCATCTATCACTTTAGCAGCAGTTTGGCAATCTTCCATTGCAGGGCTTGCTGTAAACCTCACCGGCTTACCTGATTGGTTGCTAGTGAAAACAAAAAATAACGGAAGTTTATTTTTAATAAAACTGGGTTCAGAGCTGATGCCCTGAAAAGTATATTTTTGTCATCAGAAAAATGCAATCCAAATAGAATCCCTAATATAAGAGTGTAAAACCCATACAAAATCCTTTCATAATATTTTGAAAAGCTAAGGTGGCATCAAGTATACCGTGTCAGTGTATAAAACAGGAGCTCGGAGCACTCTTTGTGGCCTGTTACAATGCAGTGTCGTCATCTTCCCTGCAGTCCCCTACCAGGAGTGAATGCTTGTCAGGTTCACTGGTACCAACGCTGTTTAGGGACCGTTTATCAGACAGTAGTGAGTTTATGGAGGCTCTGCTGTAATTAACAATCCGGTCCAGCAAACCCAGTTTAGGAGAATTTCTTGAGGTGTCATCTATTCCGACGTGAACGCTGATTTCTGAAGGACTTTTCTGTCCCATGTGGCTCCGGGCATGCAGTTCGTAATTCTCATAAGTCGGTTTCCTATAACTGGACACATGCAAAAGTACACGAGTTTGAAATAACCAAATGTGAACTAGATGCTTGTTACATTAAAAAATGAAGAGATTTACTGATATGAAATGTATAAAGATGGTCCCTGCTAGGAAAGCTCAAAAGGAATGGTGTGTAGTCACATGATCAGAAATCCTACCTCTCAGCCAATGTACTCAATTTTACCCCACTTGGTGCTTGCGCTTGCTATGTACAGACTATATAAGGTGATACTTACATAAGTGACATTTATGATTAAGACAGTTTGGGCTTATTGCAAGAATAAAACCTACCAAGACTGTGGAAGATAGAAGTAATATAAAACACAAATGTGAACAAGCCATCATACTTACAGCTTAAGGAAGAGAGAAGAAAGTACTACTGAAACAGAAGAAGCAGCCATTGCAGCAGATCCCATCCAAGGCTGCAAAACCAAACCGATGGGCATAAACACTCCTAGGAAACAGGTGTGGATTAGTTACAGCAGGTAGTGCTAAACAGATCACCAATGTGTTTCTAATACACATTTACAAATCATTTCCTCATTTGATATTTACTCATCAATTAATATTATTGTTGGTGGAGATTTATGTGGTTGTCAATTTTTCACTAATAGAGTATTGCTGTGAACATTCTTGTGCATGTCTCCCTGTGCACGTGTTTGAGAATTATTCTAGAGTCACACCTAGAGGTGAAGCTGCTGGGTTATATGTAACATGGGCACATTTTCAGCTTTAGGTGGATATTCCTCAGTTGCTTTCCAAAGTGGCTGTAACAGATCACAGTACTATCAAAAACTTGTCCACACTAGGTTTTGACAGACATTTTATTTTTTTGGGGTTTTTTTGTTTGTTTGTTTTTAATTTTTTAAATAAATCTTTATTGTTCAGATTATTACAAATGTGATCCTCTTCCCCCCCTCAATTGCTCCCCTTCACCAGGTTCCCACCTCACCCTCTGTCCTTTCCCCATCCCCCATTGTCCTCATCCATAGGTGCACAGTTTTTGTTCAGTCTCTTCCCGCACCCCCCTCTCCCCTTTTCCCTGAGAATCGTCAATCCACTCCCCTTCCATACCTCTGATTCTATTATATTCACCAGTTAATATTGTTCATCAGATTTTTAAATTCCCTTGGTTTTTAGATTCACTTGTTGATAGCTACGTATTTGTTGATCATAATTTTTATCTTTATCTTCTTCCTCTTCCTAAATAACCTCCTTCAGCAATTCATATAATTCTGGTTTGGTGGTGATGAACTCTTTTAGCTTTTTTTTATTTGTGAAGCTCTTTATCTGTCCTTTGATTCTGAGTGATAGCTTTGCTGGGTAGATTATTTTTGGCTGTAGGTTCTTGTTATTCATCACCTTGAATATTGCTTGCCATTCCCGTCTGGCCTGAAAGGTTTCTGTTGAGAAATCAGCTGACAATCTTATGGGTGCTCCTTTATAGGTCACTACCTGCTTTTCTCTTGCTGCTTTTAATATTCTCTCTTTGTCTTTTGCTCTTGGAATTTTAATTATGATATGTCTTGGTGTGGTCCTCCTTGGATTCCTTTTGTTTGGGGTTCTGCGGGCTTCCTGGACTTGTAAGTCTATTTCTTTCCCCAGGTGGGGGAAGTTTTCTGTCACTATTTCTTCTAGTACTCTTTCGGTATCTTGCTCTCTCTCTTCTGGAATCCCCATAATTCTGATGTTGTTTCGCTTGAAATTGTCCCAGAGGTTTCTTACACTATCTTCAACTTTCTGGATTCTTTTATCTTCTCCCTTCTGCAGAGGAGTGTCCTCTGGCTCTTTGTGTTCTAAATCTTTGTCTTGATTCTTGCGATCTTCCAGTCTGTTTTTAGGACTTTGTATAATATTTTTTATTTCAGACAATGTTTTCTTCATTTCTTGTTGATCCCTTATTATTTCTAGTTGTTCCCTTTTCATATCCTCATAGGTCTCATTTATTTTATCGGCCTTTTTTAGGATATTGTTGAATAACCTTATAACTGTAGTTTTGAACTCAATGTCCAGTCTTTTCTTTTCCTCCATCTCCTTCCTTTGTGTCCTTCTTCTTGTCTGCATTTTAGTTGTTTCCCTGATTTGAATGGAATAGCTTTGTGTGCTAGGTGTTCTGGTAGAGCCCAGTAGCACAGCCTTCCCAGTTACCTGCAGTGGACAGTCTTGGTGTAGCCCTTTGTGGGCTGTGTGTGCAGTCTTGTTGTTAAGCCTTGCTTATTGTTGGTATCACTGGGAAGCGTTGATCTCCAAGCCAATTGGCTGTGAGGATCAGCAGTGACTCAGCTAGCAGGGTTTCTGTACTCTGCTTAAATAGGGCGGGGTCTCGGGGTGGCGCAGACAATCTTTGGTTCCTTGTCAGTCTCGCCTTAGAAAAGTCCTGTTCGTGGAGAGTTTTGGAAGATTGGTTGCAGGCGCGCACGCACCTCTTTGGTAAAGGCGCAGACAGGCTTTGGATTCCTGCAAGTCCCTCCTTAGAGAAAGCCAGCCTCTGGGAGAGCTTCTGTGCTCAGCCACAGGTAGGGCGGAGTCTCGGGTTGGTGCAGACAAACTTTGTTTTCCCTTCAGCTCCTCCCCAAGTCCCGCAGTAATGGCCTCTGGCTTCACACACCTCCAAGAGATCTCTGCCCACTGCCTGACAGTCTGGCCTCTCCCTGTCTGGGGCCGTTTATTAGAGCAATAGGATGATTCTGTTTTCCTCTCGGACAAGAAAGCCAGCCGCGTTAGCTGTTCGCCCTCTCTGCATCAGGAGTAAGCCAGTAGCAAACTCAGCCCGGCCCGCCCTCTCTGCATGCAGGGAGTAAGCCAGCAGCAATCTGGGTCCGGCCCTTCCTCTCCGCACCGGGATTAAGCCAGCGCCTTTTTGCGCACACAGTTCTCCGTACCTTCACACTTCCTGAGGTTCAGCGTGCCTTCTCTCTCCTTCCCAGATGGCAGAGCCTCCTCTCAGCCAGCCGTCTGGCGCTTCAGGGCAATGCCTCCCCTGTTTTTCAGTTCTAAATTCAAATTTGTTGTGGTAGGCTGCATTCGGGTGTCTACCCTATGCCGCCATCTTGGTTTCTCCTCTTGACAGACATTTTAATATTTGCTCATATGATGGGGATGAGATAGACTTATTGTGTTTTTAAATTTTTATGTAAGTAACTGTATTTTCTACAGAGATCTTATATAACAAATATATTTTTAAAAAAAATAACTTGCTCCACGAATTAATCTATCTGGATTTTTAAAAATTTGTTGATTTGAGTGAGAGGAAGGGAAAAAAGAGAGAGAAACATCAATTTGTTGGGTATTTTTTTTGCATTCATTGGTTGATTCCTTTTTTAAAAAATATTTTTATTGATTTTAGAGAGGAAGGGAGAGGGAGAGAGATAGAAACATCAATGGTAAGAGAGAATCATTGATCGTCTGCCTCCTGCACGCCCTCCACTGGGGATCGAGCCTGCAACCCGGGCATGTGCCCTTGACCAGAATCAATCCAGGACCCTTCAGTCTTCAGGCTGATGCTCTATCCACTGAGCCAAACTGGTCAGGGCATCTTTGATTGACTCTGGTCCCTGACCAGGGATCAAACCCACAACCTTGGTATGTTGGGTCAACACTAACCAACTGAATTCTTTAGCCAGAGCTAATCTCTGGATTTTAATTCTTTTACTCTCTGTCCTCTCAGCATTTGTGTTTATCAACAGCTTTGTAATTGCTCTCATGTCGTTTTGTTTTTCTTCGGCTCTCAGAGAAAACAAGAAGAAAATGACAACTATTTCTCTTATGTTATTACTAACTCTACCAAGCCCCCAAGTACAGGAGATTATCAGGTGTTTATTAAATAACTAGAGGCCCGGTGCACGAAATTCATGCACAGGTGCGTCCCTCTGGGTGGCTGCAAGGATAGGGCTGAAACCTGCAGTTCAATGCTGCCTGCAGCTCCTACCTGTGGCTCCTGGTCATCCTGGCCTCACTGTGCCTGCTGTGGGCTCACGCCCAATCAGTCCCAATCGGGAGAGGCTCATGCTGCCATAGCAGCACACGCTGGCCTTAATCCCTGCATCTGCCACCTTCCCAAGGGGAGTGGCCTGAGGGATCAGGCTGAAACTGGCTCTCCGACATCCCCCAAGGGGTCCCAGATTGTGAGAGGGTTCAGGTCAGGCTGAGGCACTCCACTGGTGCACCATCGGGCCGGGGAGGGAACAAGGGAGGGTTCAAGGGCATGTCTGGCCCATCTCGCTCAGTCCTGATTGGCCAGACCCTAGCAGCAAGCTAACCTACCTATCGGAGCATCTGCCCCCTGGTGGTCAGTGCACATGATAGCAACTGGTCAACCAGTTGACTGTCTGCCCCCTGGTGGTCAGTGTACATCATAGCAAGCAATTGAGCAGCCTTAGCATATCATTAACATGCTAGTAGCCCTGCACATGAATCTGTGTGCCAGTAGGCCACTGCCGTGCTCCTGTAGCTCTCTGCCCGCTGCCCTGCCTTCCTGTAGCTTTCCCCGCCCCCCTCATAGCTTGCTGTCCTGCCCCCTCCTGAAGCTCTCCACCTCCTGCTTTCTTGCTGCCCTGTCCCATCCTGCAGCTCTCTGCCACCCACTTGTAGTTTGCTGCCCCACCCTCCTGCAGACCCATGATCCAGTCGTTACACGGTCAGTTGTTACACCTCAGGGTGTAACAAATAATTAGCATATTCCTCTATTATATAGGATTACACTTTGATTGGTTGTTCATTTGTTCTGCAGTTTGGTCTATTTGCATATTACCCTTTTATTATATAGGATTCTAAATTGCTTTTTCTTGGTCATATTCCTTCATCCAATATCTCTCATCTGGTCCCCAAGTATTAAAAACAAAACAAAACAAAACAAAAACTATTGGCTATTGTAACATTACATGAAGAGCAGAAAATTCTCCGTATGCTATCATTACAACTATGTGACCAGACAAAAACTAATGCAGAGTAAAAAAAACCTGAAGTAAATAGACTAAATGCTAACAGTAGTTGTGTTTAGATAGTGAGATTAATAGTAAATTTGTTCCCTTAAGCCAAAAAATCCTATATCGTAAAGAGTTAATATGCAAATTGACTGTAACACCCTCACAAGATGGCTGCCTACACCCAGGCCAGCAGGGGGATTAGTGAGGGACAACCAAATGACTGAACAGCAGGCTGCGTGGGGCGACCAGGCCATCTGGGGGGCTGTGAAGGGCAACTAGGCCGGCAGGGGTGGCAGCTGGGGGCAACCAGGCCAGCAAGGAGGGGGCATTTGGGAGTGACCTGGCTGGCAGCAGGGGGCAGTTAGAGGTGATCAGGCAGGCAGGAAGGTGTGCAATTAGGTGCCAGCAGTCCAGGATTGTGAGAGGGATCTTGGATTGGAGAGGGTGCAGGCTGGGTTGAGGGGACCCCTCACCCCCACCCCAGTGCACAAATTTCATGCACTGGACCTCTAGTGTGTGTGTGTGTGTATATATATATATATATATATATAGAAAGAGATGAAGCAATGTAACAAAATATGATTTACTGATGAATTTAAGTAAGTGTATAATTTTTCCTGTCTATGTAGGTTTGGAATTTTTCAAATGTAAACTTGGAGAAAAATATAAAGTAAAATAAAATAAACCTGTTAAAATACTTATACATTCAAAATCATAATGAACATTGCTGAAAATAAAATGTTGATTTTAATATTACCTCTCAGCATACCAGCAGGCTATACATAAAAAATGAGCTCAAGCAGAGACCGGTTTGGCTCAGTGGATAGAGCGTCGGCCTGCGGACTGAAAGGTCCCGGGTTCGATTCCGGTCAAGGGCATGTACCTTGGTTGCGGGCACATCCCCAGTAGGGGGTGTGCAGGAGGCAGCTGGTCAATGTTTCTCTCGCATCGACGTTTCTAAATCTCTATCCCTCTCAATTCCTCTCTGTGTAAAATCAATAAAATATATTTTTTTTAAATGAGCTCAAAAATAATAAAAAGACTAAAACTTCCAAAATGATATGTCTCTAATGACCTCAGAGGATAAAGCAATACTAGTTAACAGTCACATACCAGCAGCTATAGGAATTCCAACCAGATTATAAATTAGAGCAAAGACAAAATTAATCCGAATCCTCTTGACAGTCTTTCTTGATAAATCAATACTTGCCACCACATCCAGGAGATCATTCTGAGAACAGAAATATTTGTGATATTAGCAAGAGACTCTAGCTTAACTAGTAATTTTTACATTTGATACTGTGTATATTGAAGATGACATGTACCTTAGAGTAATATGTAAATTAACTACAAATCTCAGATATTGCTAAAAACTTAAGCCAGCCTTGGAAGATGTTTTTCAAGAACTCTTCTGAGTTGAAAACACATTAGGGTTGTATCCTGGTAGAGGGATTAAATACTATTAAAATAACCTCACTATTTATTGAAGATAATTTTAAGTATGTTCCCAAATCTTGTTCTTCACTTTAGAAACTTGTCATTCTCATTTGCTTTGCTGGGTTAAGAAAGTGTAGATGTAATTAGTAAGACTTCTCATATACTCATCTCGAATTCTCCCCGTCTCAATAGCTGGGAGCATGGGAATTAGAACAGAATCATCCTGCTCGATGCACTTTATGACACTATCCGTGACCATGTAGAGCAGATTTACACTCCTCAAAGTGCAGGCTATAGGACTTACCCTTATCAAAACCACATCGGCCGCTTCAATGGCTACATCTGTGCCTGTGCCAATGGCAATCCCAACATTGGCCATTGCCAGAGCTGGGGAGTCATTGATTCCGTCTCCTACCATTGCTACCCGTTTCCCCTCCTCTTGAAGTTGCTTCACCTTAGCAACCTTGTGGGAAGGTAGAACTTCAGCAAACACCTTAGTAATGCCAACCTATATCAGGAAAAATAGACTCAATTCAAAAAAATATTACAGGATACCTGAAATATAACTCAGCAATGAGCCTTCATTTTCTGCCCACCACATGTCCAAATTTTAAAAGACTGTTAATACCCAGTGATAGTAAGAATAGGAAGAGATGAGCTTCCTTATACACTGTTGGTGAATGTGTAAATTGGCACTGTCTTTTTGGAATGTATCAGGCAGTATCCATCAAAGTGTGCACATCATTTGGTTCAGCAATTCCACGTCAAGCTATATTTTGTACAAATTTATACGTGACAAAGTGGTATGTCCAAGGATGCACATTACTACACTGTTTGTAACAAAAATATTTTCAAAACCGCCTAAGTGCCCATCATTAGAGGAATGGTTAAATAAATCATGACACAACCATACCATGGAATTCCTTGCAGCAATGTAGAAAGAATAAATAACTTTATATGTTTAGACATGGACAAAACTCCAAGGCAATATACTGTTATGTAAAAAACAAACTGCTAAACAATCTATATAAAAATGATCCAATTGCTCGGCCAGCACGGCTCAGTGATTGAACATCTATCTATGAACCAGGAGGTTACAGTTCGATTCCCTATCAGGGCACATGACTGGGTTCTGTGCAGAAGGGAGCTGATGAATGATTCTCATCATTGATGTTTCTATCTTTCTCTCCCCGTCTCCCTTCCTCTCTGAAATGAATAAGAATATATATTTAAGATTATTCCATTTATGTTGAAAATACCAAAATGATACATTTGTATATGAACATGTATACATATGAAAAAGTATGGGTGATAGGACTTGACAGGAAGCTTGGGAAAAGGGTGAGGAACTTTTCACTTTATAACCTTTTGTATTTTTATACAACAATGCATTCATGCCCTAACCGATTTGGCTCAGTGGATAGAGCGTCGGCCTGCAGACTGAAAGGTCCCAGGTTTGCTTCTGGTCAAGGGCATGTACGTTGGTTGTGGGCACATCCCCAGTAGGGGCTGTGCAGGAGGTGGCTGATCAATGTTTCTCTTTTATAGTTGTTTCTAACTCTCTATCCCTCTCCCTTCCTCTCTGTAAAAATCAATAAGATATATATATTTTTTAAAGAATGGATTCATATATTAGTTGTGTTATTTAATAGAAGAGGAGACAAGGCATTCCTAAGAAGAAAAGACTAATATGAGAAAAGTTTTGATGGTAAGGCAAATATAGGTGTCAGTAGCAGAAAAATGATATGTCAAATGGTGGATTAGGAAGATGGTTTCATAAGTAGTGTTCAGGATGAACTCAAAAGGAAAGTGCATGAAGCTAGTGCTGTATTTTGGCATAAGAAGACTAGAGCCTGGCCTAGGCTAGCAGCAGTGGTGAAAAATCTGAGCAACATTTCAAAGAAAGCATCAACAGAAACTGGTGCACAATGTCACTTAAGCATCTCATGAACTAAGTAAATAGCTTTCTACTTATTACAGTAGCACAGAAAGCCCGAATTCCTGCCTGTATAGCATGCCAAATTTTTAAATATATATTTTATTGATTTTTTACAGAGAGGAATAGAGAGTTAGAAACATCGATGAAAATCATCAATCAGCTACCTCCTACACACCCCCCACTGGGGATGTGCCTGCAACCAAGGTACATGCCCTTGACCCGGATCGAACCTGGGACCTTTCAGTCCGCAGGCTGATGCTTTATCCACTGAGCCACACCAGTTAGGGCCATGCCAATTTTTTAAGGAACCAGATATGTCTACTCAGGGGTAATGAAAATAATAGATAATATGAATTTTTTAGCATTTGAAGGCAAAAAGGAAATGTATATAAAGAATTAGAAGTGCCCCAGCTGGTTCTGTTCAGTGGTTAGAGCATCAGCTGACTGAAGGGTCCTGGGTTTGATTCTAGTCAAGGGCAGGTACCTCAGTTGCAGGTTCAATCTCTAGCCCCAGTTAAGGCTTGTGCAGGAGGCAACCAATCAATGTTTTTCTCTCTATGCCTCTCCCCCTCCCTTCCACTCTCTCTAAAAATCAATGGAAAAAATAAACTTGGGTAAGGATTAACAACAACAAAAGAATAAGAAGTTATTATATACCCCACCCCAACAACTAAGTAAACCAATTACCTGAGAAGCAATAGACCTAGCTGTTTTACTATTGTCTCCAGTCATCAGAATTACTTCCAAGCCCATGGATTTTAGAATATGGACAGCCAGTTCTGCTTCAGGCTTCACTGTATCAGCAATAGCTATCAAGCCGCACAGCACATCTAGTATAGGAATACAAAAAAAAAAAAAAAAGAAGAAGAAAGTTTGGAATACCAAGAAAGCAGAATAATATTCTGACTTAAAATTTCAAAAACAAAAGAATTTTGTGAAGAGTACATGTTAAGGAGAATCCAAGATGGCTGCACAAGTAAACACCTAGCCACAGCTGCACACAACAATTTCAATAAAATACAACTAAAATATAAAATGGACATTACCCAGAACTCAGGAAAGTCGACTGACTGGAAATTCCACAGCAAGAAGCAAGGAGAAAACCAGAAGGAAGAGCGGAGGAGCTGTAAAAGCCTAAGGTACAGAGACACGCAGCATGTGAGCAGAGAGGACAGAGCCAGAGAGGAGGGGCAGCTGAGTTCCTGGCTGGCGTTCCCTAGGGGATAAAAGCTCCGGACTGTGCTGGGCCCCAGTTCCGACTGCTCTGAACCCCAGTTCAAGGCCAGATCCCGGGGACCCAGGCTCATCCATAGGGAGATGAGCTGTAAGGCGGAACCCCGGGGGAGCGGCGAAAGGAGATACCAGAGGTGTGCACATTGCGTGCAGAGAAGGGACGGTTGGCTGTGCCATGGGATTGCCCTGGCGGGAAGGAGACAAAAGCTCCGGACTGCTCTGAACGCCACCTCCAACTCCACTTCCAACTGAACTGAACCCCAGTTCCGGGCTCATTGTGGGAGAGCCTAGACTGTTTGGTAGCAGGCGAAAATCGAGGGCACCTTTCTCTCAGAGGTGCTTGCAGTGAGTACTGAAGGACCCTGGGGATTACTGAGACTCAGGAACCACATAGGGTGGGGCTGACGGAAGCCAAAGCTGTAGGCTCTACCCTGAAACCGCGCCCCATCAGGGAAGCTACGAAAATGCCGAGACAAGGAAATAGATTACAAACGAAAGAAATGGAGAACAAAAAGCGACTGGATATAGAGTTCAAATCTACACTTATAAGGTTTTTCAAGAATTTCCTAGAAAAGGTCGATAAGACCTATGAGAATATGAAAAGGGATCAACTAGAATTAATAAGGAATTAACGAAATGATAAGGGATCAACAAGAAATGAATACATTGTCTGAAATGAAAAAATATTATACAGAGTCCTAAAAACAGAATGGAAGATCGCAAGAATCAAGTTAAAGATTTGGAACATAAAGAGCCAGAAGACATTCCTCCGCAGAAGCAAGAAGGCAAGAGAATCCAGAAAATTGAAGATAATGTAAGAAACCTCTGGGGCAACTTCAAGCGAACCAACATCAGAATTATGGGGGTCCCAGATGATGAGAGAGAGCAAGATATCGAAAACATACTGAAAGAAATAGTGACAGAAAACTTCCCCCACCTGGTGAAAGAATTAGACTTACAAGTCCAGGAAGCGCACAGAACTCCAAACAAAAGGAATCCAAAGAGGACCACACCAAGACAAATCATAATTAAAATTCCAAGAGCAAAAGACAAAGAGAGAATATTAAAAGAAGCAAGAGCAAATCAGGTAGTTACCTATAAAGGAGCACCTATACGATTGTCAGCTGACTTCTCAACAGAAACCATGCAGGCCAGACGGGAATGGCAAGAAATATTCAAGGTGATGAATAGTAAGAACCTACAGCCAAAGATAATCTACCCAGGAAAGCTATCACTCAGAATTGAAGGCCAGATAAAGAGCTTCACTAATAAAAAAAAGCTAAAGGAGTTCATCACCACCAAACCAGAATTATATGAATTGCTGAAGGGGGTTCTTTCAGAAGAGAAAGTAAATAAAGATAAAAATTATGAACAACAAATATGTAACTATCAACAAGTGAATCTAAAAACCAAGGAAATTTTTAAAAAATCTGATGAACAATATTAACTGTTGAATATAATAGAATCAGAGGTATGGAAGGGGAGTGAACTGACAATTCTTGGGGAAAAGGGGAGAGGGGGATGTGGGAAGAGACTATGGATGAGGACAATGGGGGGTAGGGAAAGGGCAGAGGGTGGGGTGGGAACCTGGTGGAGGAGAGCAATGGAGGGTGGGGGGGAAAGGAACATTTGTAATAATATGAACAATAAAATTTTATTTAAAAAAAAAGAATTTTGTGAAGGAAAATTGTTCAGGGCTTGGCTTAACTAAAAATATCACCAAGCCAACACAGAGTTTATACCACAAACTCTGTAACAAACCTCCATGTTTGTTTATGAAAATTTCATAGAGTAAGATAGGGGTTATTAACAAAGATAATAACACGAAAATGAAAAGAGGAATCTTACTGGATAGTAAAAAACTCCCTTTCTTTCCTTAGAGAAGTTTCAACCAATAGCCCAAACAATTTAGCTAATTTACAGACAAATGAACTAAAAACTAATGCTTTTATTTTTACAATAAAGGAGTGGATAGAGATAAAACTGGCATTTCACTGGGGGAGGAGAGGAGTCACTGCAAGTAGTTATTTCATTTTTAAAAAGAAAAGTATATGATATTTTCTGCTTCTTCCTAGGCCTACTACCTTCATACTTAGCAAGGATTATAAATGTTGACTAATTAATTTCACAGCTAGAAATTTATCCTAAGAAGTAATTTAACAAAAGAAAAGACCTAAAACCTCAATATGTTTATTGTAGTGTTATTTACAATAATGAAATATCAGCTTAAATTTACAACAGAGGGATGATTAAATGAAATATAATGTATAAGTTTGATAAATTATGCAGCATTAAAATAAAATTGGAAAATATTTGGTATTAAATAAAATAAAGCAAAATAAAATAATATGTATATGAGAAATTGAAATTTTGTATTCAATTTTATTGAGGTAAAATTTACATACAATAAAATGCAATCATATGTACTGATAGTGTAATTCTCTTTGTGAATGTATATGTATATATATACATATATAAACCAGAAATGGAATATATACAGTTAAAACTGACATTGTTAGAATGATGAGATTATAAATATTATTTTACTTTGTTATTAGTGTAATGTTATTTCATTTTTAGGTTTTAAAAAAGCCTTGATTAGTTTTAAAAAACACACACACACATAGGCTAGGGAAGAAAATATAATAAAATCAGGCAAATGCAAGAGAATTTTAAATTAATCTATAACAAATATGTATTGCTAACATTTTCGTTGCGTTCAGGCTGCTTTCAAATAATCCTTATAATTCAGAAGTCTCTCAAAAATACACATAAAACAATAGCCGAGATCACAACACTGAGTCATAGTGTACTCATTGAAAACCTTACCATCAATTGCCACCAATACAGCAGTACGACCTCTTCTCTCATGTTCAGTCATAGAATCATCTACATCATGATTAATGACAAGACCATTTCTAGTCATCCATTCCCGGTTACCAATGAGGACTTTGTAGTGCTGGGCATTAAGAGCTTCTGAGAATGAAAGAGCATCTGAAAGTACAAAATAACATTTAATGAGCTCATTTTATAACAACCCCATGAGGCACACTCTCCCTGCCTAAATTTGCACAGTCACTACATTGTATTTTTAGTAGAATGCAGACTACAACACTGCTTTCCAGATTCTGAAGAAACATACTCTGCTCTTACATGCCTGTGGGTTTTTGAATATGTTGCTGCTTCCACTTGGAACATCCTTACCCCTCCTCTCAAAATACTAAACTGCATCATATTCTTTTTTTAAATATATTTTTATTGATTTCAGAGAGGGAGAGGGAGAGACAGAAACATCAATGCTGAGGGAGAATTATTGATCAGCTGCCTCCAGCACGCTTCCTACTGGGAATTGAGCCCGAAACCCAGTCATGTACCCTGACTGGGAATCAAACTGTGACTTCTTGGTTCATAGGTTGACGCTCAACCACTGAGCCATGCACGCCTGGCTGCATCATATTTTTCAGGAGCCTGTTCAAATGTTACTTTCTTGGTGAATCTTTCCTTTTGGCCTTTCCCTTTGATCTTCCAAGGTAATTGAATGAAATTAAAAATATTTATTGTGGAACAGTAGTTGAATGTGGTTAAATGAAAACATACAACCATACTGATGTCTCAGTGTAAGCTGAGTGTTAAGTTTAAGTGGGCGCTTATGCTGTCTGGCAATTCTATTATGGTTCCCTAGTCCATTCATTCTCCATTTCTTCTATATCTCTTCTCCCAATCTCATACCAGAGGAAAATAAAAGCAATCAGAATAGAACTTCTTCAAGCTCTCATTGCCACATCTACTCAGCTACCTGTCTGTATCTGTGTACTCATTAATCTAGCTTCCCTTCTATCATATACTGCCCCTGCTCCTATTTAAGAACAACCTCTCTACTTTTGCACTAGCTCCCCATCCTTTGCATATTCTTTTTTTAAAATATATATTTTATTGATATTTTACAGAGAGGAAAGGAGAGAGATAGAGTTAGAAACATCGATGAGACAGAATCATCGATCAGCTGCCTCCTGCACACCTCCTACTGGGGATGTGCCCGCAACCCAGGTACATGCCCTTGACCGGAATCAAACCTGGGACTTTTCAGTCTGCAGGCTGACGCTCTACCACTGAGCCAAACTGGTTTTGGCATTGCGTATTCTACAAACATCTCTCTAACTCACCCCTCTCTCTCCTACATAATCAAATTTTCTATCTCTACTATACATAATCCTATCTTTAAAAAAAAATCTTTCTTGATCTCATTTACCTCTCTAGCTACTGTCCCATTTATCTGTTTCTGTACATATAGCAAAACTTCTCAGAAAGTGTTGACTTCATTGGTAGCTCCAATTCATATCTACCCTTTCTCTTATGAACCCATTCCAATAAAGTCTTTGTTTCTACTACTTCAAAGAATTGTTCATACAATACAACCAATGACATTTACTTTAACAAACATAATGGAAAATTATCAGTCTTCATTTTTTGCCCTATTAGCCACATTTTACACAGATAATCACTGCATTTTGTGGGGTGTTTTTTTTTTTTTGTGGTTTTTGTTTGTTTGTTTTTTGTTTTGTTTTTTTACACTCACTACTACTTGAAATACTTTCTTCACTGGGCTTCTAGGATACCACATTCTTATGAATTACCTACCTCCTCACTCATCACTTCTTCTCAGTCTTCTTCTGATTCTTTCTTATCTCCCTTATCTCTTAATTTGTAATGCTGCAGGGCTCAATCCTTAAGCCTCCTTTTTACCCTCTATCTAGTCTCACTCCTTGTTGATCTTATCCAGTCTCATGGCTTTAACTGCCATCTATACCAGTGCTGTCCAGTAGGATTTTCTTTAGTGATGGAAATGTTCTATATCTGCTCTGTTCAATACACTAGGCACTAACAACATGTGGTGAATGAGCACTGAAATGTAGCTAGCGTGATTGAAGGCTGAATTTTAAATTAAATTTAACTTTACTCAAATTTTAGAAGTCACATGTAATTAGTGACTACCATATTGGACAGCACGGATCTATAAGTGGAACTCCGAAACCCGTATCTCCAACTCAGTCTGTTTCCTTGAACTCGACATGTGCAGCCAACTGCCTAGTTGATAGTTCCATTTACATAACATCTTCACTTGAATATTTAATAGGCACTCAACATTTACATGCTGAAAACTAACTCCTGATCAGTTTTCCTCAATATTGCTCCTGTTGTGGTCTTCCCCATCTTATTTAAATGGAAACTCTCCCCTTCTAAATTGCTTAGTCCACAAACCTTTGCATAATTCTTTTTTTTTTTTCTTTTTCAATTACGGTAGACATAAATTGTTATATTATTGTAGTTTCACATGTACAACCCAGTGGTTAGACATTACATAACTTATTAAGTAATCATCTCAATAAATCTCACACCATACATAGTTATTAGAATGCTAGTAGCCCTGAGCACAAACCCGCATGCCAGTATCTCTTTGCAAGGCCTGGCCACTCCACGCCCACTGCCCAGAGGCTCTCTGCAGTCCAGAGGCCCATCCACAGTCAGGTACAGAACGCTTGCCTCATTGCTGCAGTGACAAAGCAAGCATTCTTCCAGGCTACGAACGCTGCCCACTCTCAGCAGCAGCCGCCCATCTCCCCTCCCCCCACCGAGACTGGAAGATTCCGGCAGGGCTGAGAGAACTGGGCACTGCCATCTTGTGGCTATGGGTGCCTCCATCTTTGTGACAGAGTGATTATTAATTTGCATATTACCCTTTTATTAGATAGGATTATTGACTATATTCCCTATGCTGTACTTTAGATCTCCATGAGTATTCTGTAATAACCAATTTGTACTTCTTAATCCTTTCACTTTTTTCACCACCACCCCCTCACCACAATCCCTCTACCATTTGGCAACCATCAAAATGTTCTATCTATGACTCTATTTCTATTTTGCATGTTCATTTGGTTTTATAGATTCCGTTGTTGATATATGTACTGTGTGTGTGTGTGTGTGTGTGTGTGTGTGTGTATTTTAAAACTATGAACAACAAAATGGCAAATATATATATATATATATTTGCCAATTTGTTGTTCATAGTTTTAAAATATATCTTTATTGTTAAAAGTATTACAGATGTCTCCCTCCCTCCCCATTGACCCCCCTCCGCCCCACTCCTGACCCCTGTTGTTCATAGTTTTGCTCTTTTTCTTCTTCTTAAAGAAGACCCTTTAACATTTCATACAATGCTGGTCTGGTGGTGATGAACTCCTTTAATTTGTTATTGTCTGGGAAACATTTTATCTGTCCTTTGCTTCTAAATGATAGCTTTACTGGGTAGCATAATCTTGGTTGTAGGTCCTTGATTTTCATTACTTTGAATATTTCTTGGCAATCCTTTCTGATTGCAAAGTGTCTGTGGAGAAATCATCTGACAATTTTATGGGAGCTTCCTTGTAGGTAACTAACTGCTTTTCTCTTTCTGCTTCTAAGATTCTCTCTTTGTCTTTAACTTTTTTCATTTTAATTATGATGTGTCTTACTGTGGGCCTCTTTGGTTCATCTTGTTTGGGACTCCTCTGCATTTCTGGGACTTGTACATGTATATCTTTCACAAAGTTAGGGAAGTTTTCTGTCATTATTTTTTCAAATAGGTTTTCAATTTCTTGCTCTCTCTTTTCTTCTGGCACCCCCACGATATGAATGTTGGTATACTTGAAGTTGTCCCAAAGGCTCCTTACACTATGCTAATTTGGGGGGATTCTTTTTTTCTTTTTGATGTTCTGATTGACTGTCCTGTGCTTCCTTAACTTGCCAATCTCTGATTTGATCCTCTGCTTCATCTACTCCACTGTTGATTTCCTGTAATGTGTGATTTGTTTCTAACTGGATATTTTTTATGTTTTCTAGTTCTACTTTTATGCTTCCTATTTCTTTTTGAAGTTCTCACTAAGTTCATCTACTCTTCCTCTGAGTTCATTGAACATCCTTAGAACCAGTGTTTTGTACTTGACATCTAGAAGATTGTTTGTCTTCATTTTGTTTACTTCTTTTTCTGGATATTCTGTTCTTTCATTTGGGCATGTTTCTTTGCCTCTTCATTTTGGTAACCTCCCTGTGGTTGTTTCTATGTAGTAAGTGAGTGGTTGGCAAACTGCGGCTTGTGAGACACATGAGGATCTTTGGCCTCTTGAGTGTGGCTCTTCCACAAAATACCACGTGCAGATGCACACATACAATATAATTGAAACTTCATGACCCAGGCGCAGAAGTCAGTTTTTGGCCTGCGTGAGTCTATATTGAAGAAGTAGCGTTAGAGCACTCAAGGGACCAAAGAGCTGTATAGAACTCAATAGAAAACATCAAGAGTAGACTAGAAGAAGCAGAGGACCAAATCAGTGAGCTAGAAGACAAGATAGGAAAAAAAATACCCAAGTAGAACAGCTTCTAGGAAAAAAATTAATTAAAAAGAAGGAAGAGAGCCTCAGGGAACTTTAGGACAACACAAAACAAAATAACATCAGCATAATAGGGGTTCCAGAAGGAAACAAAACTGAGCAAGGAATAGAAAACCTGTTTCAAGAAATAATGACAAAAAACTTCCCTGATATATGGAAGAAAAAACCCCACACAAATTCAAGAAGCTCACAGAGTCCCAAGCAAAATGAACCCCAAAAGACAACGCCAAGGCACATTATAATGAAACTGGCAAACACCAATGACAAAGTAAATATCTTAAAAGTGGCCAGAAACAGAAAGTTACCTACAAAGGAACCCCCATCAGATTAGCGACTGATTTCTCAACAGAAACTCATAAGGCCAGAAGGGAATAGAAAGAAATATATAAAGTCATGCAAAGGAAAGGTCTGAATCCAAGAATACTGTACCCAGCAAGGCTATCAATCAAAATTGAAGGTGAAATCAGGAGATTCACAGAAAAAAGGACTAAGGGAATTTATTACCACCAAAACAGCAATGCAAGAAATGCTGTAAAAAAAGAAATAGGAAGCAAAAAAGGAACACAGGGG